GTCACAAGGCTTTATGTCGTGACCATGGTTAAATATTGAGCAATAGATTGATCGATGGAATTGACCATTGATGTGTGATGTGATTTGAGATTGGCCAATGGAATGGACCATCGGCATGTGCTTTTGATGAGATTCATTAATGGAATAGACCATTGATGTGTGATTTGAGATTAGTCAATGGAATTGACCATTGACGTGGTTTTTAATAGAGATTGATCAATGGACTTGACCGTTGATGTTTATGATGATTTAAAATGAGTATTTTCTAAATTTTATAAAGCTTTGATGAAATGAAATAACTCTTATGTGACTCGATATGTATTTTATATCTTGAGTTTGACTTCTAGAATTTTTGATATGGCTTTATCTATATATGCATAGTGGTTGCTCGATCTGCTTAGAAGAGATACGCACTGCTTACTGAGCTGTGGTTGCTCACTCCTTTCTTTCCCCAATCTTTTCAGGTTCTTTGGTTAGTAGCCAATAAAGCGAGAGCGATATCATGGGGAGTTTTGGGTGGTTTGAGGCTGCGTTCTTCGGATAAAAGGACAGCCGTGTCATCCCCTATCCTGGTAGGTTTCGGGGTGTGACATCAAGTGGTATCAGAGCCGACTCCCGACCGCATGTGGAGCCACAGTGAGGACGCTGTGCTCGAAGGAGGGGAGAATGTAACGACCCGGTCCGACGAGGGCGGGGAGTGGTCGCCGGGGTCCGAGGACCTGGACAAGGAGCGGCTTCTGGCAGGCTTCTAGATAGGCAAGGGGGGCATGTCTCTTGTCCCACATCGCCTAGAGAGGGAGCCTTGGGCTTGCTTATAAAGGCTTGGAAAACCTTAACTTGCAAGAGGCCTTTTCTGGAGGTAGTATGGACTGCCCTCGGAGGAACAAAACCGTGAGGACTTAGTGTCCAAAGCGGACAATATCTTGCGAGTGGGACCCAGGTCGTTACAGAATTGCTGCCCTCATACAGTCCTTGTTTGTTCCACACGTTGAGCTTTGCTTCACTCCACTTCGGCCACTCTCCATTCTCTGGCGAGTTTCCGACAGTGTGTGCAAAGCACAGCCTCTGTTGTTTTCCCTTGGTGATAGTTGGACAGATCTCCGTTAGTTCCACCCAAGTCTGACAATTCCCCAAGAGTCGTGACTCACACCTCCAAACGTGCTGCCCCTGCGATCGCCAAGGATCCCCATCGCTGCTGCTGCATTGTTGCTACTTGCTATTGTACTGCTGCTTGATGTTGCTGCTGTTCATCGCAGCAGTTCGTCACTGCTGTTTATTGCTGTTTGCTACTGCTGCGTCCCTGCTGCCGCTGCTCGTTGCCGTTCTTTGCTCACTGTCGCTTGCTGCTGCCGCCGTTCATCATCGCTGCTTTCTACAGTTTGCTGTGTTGCTGCCGTTCGTCACTGTTTGATGCTGTTCGCTGCTGCTGCATCTAAACTGCCGCCGCTCACCGTTCGCTGCTGTCGCTGATCATCGTTGCTGCTTGTTGACGTCTGCTGCATTGCTGCTGTTCGTGGTTGTTTGTGGTTGTTTGCTTCTGCTGCTACTACTCGTTGTCGTTCGCTGTTGCCGCTACTCGGTGCCGTTCGATTGTTGTTGTTGTGCTGTTCTTCATTGCTGACACTCACTATTCGCTGCTTGCTGTTACATCACTGTTATTGCTGTTGCGATCCCCCTCACTTTAGATCGACTTCTCGTGGATAACTATAACTAAGGTGAGGATAATGTTAGTTTAAATTTGTGGATACTTAATACATGATTTTATCTAGTTATATATTTTATTTGCATTAACCAAGATATATTAGGGCGTTTGGACCTTTAGACACTAAGGTCAAATCCTTAATATTATCTGGACATGATTCATTGATTTGCAAAAAAAAAATTTGAAATAAAGAGAACATGTACCGAAAGGGCGTTAGATTAATCGGCAAAAGGACACTATAAGTGCCATAACTTGTGTACGGAGATCACTTTGGTGTCATAACTTTTTTTCGGATCACTTTGGTGCCAAGTCAGAGGAAAAACGATCACTTAAGTGCCATAAGTTTTTTTTGGATCACTTCAGTGCTAAAATTTTTGAAAAACGATCACTTAAGTGCTAAAATTTTTTTAAAATGATCACTTAAGTGCCAATCTCCAGCGAGCCACGTCAGCTTTAGAAATTAATAAAAAAAATGCCACGTCGGATTTCCGGCAAAAAATTGTGTACGGCATCGGAGTTGGTACTTAAGTGATCGTTTTTCAAAAATTTTAGCACTTAAGTGATCGTTTTTCAAAAATTTTAGCACTAAAGTGATCCAAAAAAAACTTATGGGACCAAAGTGAGCGCCGTACACAAGTTATGGCACTTATAGTGTTCTTTTGCCTAGATTAATCTAGCATAACCAAGTCCCCGAATCCCTTGAATCTCTGGTTCGTAAAAGTAAAATGTACTCTCACATTTTACTTGAGTGTATAATTGACCCATAACTGATTAGTGGTGGCTCCGAAAGGTAAGATAAATGTCATGATTAACTGAAGTACCAAGTTGCAATCGGATGGGCTTGGGAGAGTCCGCACTAAACTCGAGCGATCGCCTCATGAGAGGAACCTTCATTCCCATTCAGTAAATCCGTTAGCCATCTCCTAGTGGTTCACCTCCGGGAAGGTCGCGACACTCACATCACGACAACGCTTGAAAGGTACTGAGAAATGGGAACTTAGCTTTCTGAGTTAGAAAAATCGAAAAGTTCTCGAACAGCACAGTTGATCTTTGACCCGCACCTGAGGCATTGAGGCCATTCCAGTCGTGGCATTAGCGGAAAGTGAAAAGTAAATTGCTTTTTAGAGCCAAATTCTTTGACCGAGAGAAGCAGAAGAAGACTTGTTTTTACTTGGTTCCATGCAGATTTCAACATCGAGATAACCATAATTTAGCTGCAGAAATATTGTGGAGCTTGTTATTACATTCGACATGCAGTTTTACCCGTTTTCATATAAATTTAATTCAAGCTTTTTGCAAACCAAGTTTAACCAAAACTGGAGACAAAACGGATTCTCATCGTTTTTGGTGATATATAATATGAAGGGTAGTTATTCGACGGTGTTACAAGAACCGAAAGAATAAATTTATGCATATCTAGTACATGTTTAATGGATTTTGGGAGATTTGTAAGATTTCAGCGTTTTGAGTTGGTGAGTTCGGTTTCTTGAGTTCTTTTGAGTTCAAACTGTTGAGTGTTAAGGCGGCCATCAAGTACGACATACACAACCGATGGAGTTTCTTTTTTTTATCACAAAACCTGAATTTTCTCTCCATATATGGTTAATATAAACATGAGATCTATGCTAAGAGCACACTTCCACTTTAATGAAGCTTCTAATGCTCTCAAGAAGAGGAAGGAAGCCATGACTATCCTAAGAATGTAGAAACTTCAGAATCACTGGAAGTTCTCTAACTATCAAACTGGCATTTACAATTCCACCCTAAATAAATGAATATTTATAATTTGAAAGAATAGTCCTCTGCACGAGGATCCCTATGCATTAATGCCATGCTAACGAAACACTCATTGCCACAAAAGACGTGATGATATTTCATTTGAATATTGTTAACATTATGTCTCTAAGGATGCTTCCTCGAGGATAGAAATATCAGAGCTTGAAAAGTAAACCACACCAATTTAAGCAGGTAAGTGAGACTTTTCCCATATTGGGTAGATAATTTTGTCATCATCTTTCTTGTGAAAAAGACCGGGAGCATTACCAAGATGGGTGACTTTTCAAGACCCTTTATCATGGACCCCGTTAATTACATTAGAACTGAGATATTTATTCATTTCCTTACTGACTTGAATTGTTCCTTGTACACATTGGATCCTTTTAATTTTTGCTAGACCAAAAATCATGTGAATTCTTCTCTTACGCATTGGATTAAATATTTGTTCCACATCTTTGCTTATTGCCAAAAAATTTCACATTCATTGCCAATCTTCTTTTTTCTCGTATTGATTAGCTTGGTCACTTATAATTTCAGATTTAACATTAATATGATATTTTATTTCTGGATTAATCTTAGTTTAGCATTGTTTATGTTATTTAAGAAATTAATTAAACCTCGTTTAGTGCTAGAGTTTTAGGTTCTAAGCATCGTGTGTTTATAGTTTGTTAAAAGCTTTTAATTTTGTTAGTTAGATGTAGTTTAGCTGTAATTCTAATGTTTTAATTTGAACTTTGTGCCATGTCCTTTTGTATTAGTATATGTAATTAATTTCAATTGAATAATTTTGGTGAAAATGTGACTAGAAGCCTAGAAAGTTTAATTAATAATCTTTTTCTGACTTAAGAATGGCAATGATGAAGCTTTCTAATGTCATTTTCTTTCGAATGATTTTTTGAAAATGTTTTCTTAGAGTTTGTAGAAAGTCAAAAAGAGAAAAGAAAAGTTCGATATGGAGGACATATGTCTTAGTATATCTAATTACTTTCAATTGAATCATTTTGGTAAAAATGTGGCTAGGAAATGTTATTATTTACCCTTTTCCTACTTAAGTATAGCAATGTTGAAGCTTCTAAGGTTATTCAAAAAAATGTTTTTGAATTTTCCTTTTAGAGTTTGTGGAAAGTAAGGAAAGAGAAAAGAAAAGTTCGATAGTGGGACATGTGTCCAAAATAAAGACGAGCACAAGTCAAAGTCGTCATTGACTTTTCCAAGAGCCTTCTTTGTGCTGGCCAACATTTAACATGGTCAGTTTGATTGGTCATCTTAGAAGATTTCCACACAATTGCATATTTAGGACTGATTTATTGTATAGCAGAAATGAAAATTAAAGACTTGCTCGAGATACATCTTTTGAGCATCTGCGTGTAACAAGCCGACTGAATGGTGAAGGCTGGTGCAACAAAGATGCTTGTTCGTATGAGTATTCGCGTGACTGAAGTAATTTCTGCAATGATAAAATTGACAACAAGTATATATGGATCTCAAAATGAAGTAAAATTGTTGCATCATGCTCAAGCTAGATGATTGCAATTTGCAAAGTATTTCCCCATTGGCACATACACCGTACGATCATGCCTAGCTAATTACAATATAAATAAATTTGGAATAGGTGACATTACAGTTTAATAATCCCAGACATCGAGAATAAGTTCATAAACAATAAATAACTAACGAAGTTCTCGTATTAGTAAATGAACGAGTTTTCCTCCCTTTTTTCTTTCGGTCTGAACACCAATTTCCATGACAAACATAGCAATATGAGTCATCAGTGTAAGAGGCAAAACAGATCTTCACCATGTCCCACTAGGTAAGAGTGGCTGCACATCCGACAATGTAATGACATCCATAACCATGTTTGACTTGCTAGATGGAAAAGCAACATCATAAGATTCAGTTGCCTCATGGTCCTCTTGATTTTGCTGAATACCCGAAGGATTCTGGAGCTTCCTTATCCTCTCCAACTCCATTGCCACTTCTTTCATTGTAGGCCGGTTCCTCCCATTCAAGTATAAGCACCTTTTCGCAAGGTTAGCAACTGATGCAATATCTTCCTTCTTACCTTCTTTCAAAACTTGAGCATCCACAATGTCGAACAAGCAATTTTGCTCCATCGAAATTATGAAATAGGTTGCGAGGCTTCTTCCTTCTTGTTCCCTTAGCGACGAGATTGGCTTTTGGCCCGTTAAGAGTTCAACAAGGACAACTCCAAAGCTGTATACATCACTTTTGTCTGTGAATTGACTTGATTGGAAATACTCGGGATCTAGGTAGCCGAAAGTCCCCTGCACCAATGTGGTTACATGAGTTTGATCGAGGGAAACGGACTTGGAAGTACCAAAATCTGCCACTTTTGCCCGATATTTCTCATCCAAGAGGATATTGGTGGACTTGATGTCTCGATGATAAATGGGAATAGAGGCTGCTGAATGCAAGTAGAATAAGGCTCCTGCAATTTCAGTTGCAACTCGTAAGCGCGTGTCCCATGATACACGAAACTCTTCCTTTAGGTCATGTAGATATTGATATAGAGTCCCGTTTGGTATAAACTCATATACTAAAAGCGGGACTTCTGTCTCCAAGCAGCACCCCAATAACTTAACCACATTCCTATGGTTGATTTGTGAGAGAATGAGGACTTCATTTATGAACTGTTCGACTTTGCCCTCATTTATTGCTTTCGATTTCTTAATCGCAACTATTTTTCCATCTGTTAACATTCCCTTGTAAACAGTACCTTGTCCACCTTGCCCGAGTATCCTATCCTTGTTGAAATTGTCAGTGGCCTTCTCTAGATCCTTGGAGTTGAACAATTTGTTTTTCTCGACATTGCCTTCGGCTGAAGATAGCTCACTTTCCAACAAAAGACCACCATTGCGTTTGAAGTACTTCTCTTTGAGCTTTATTTCTTTTCTCTTCTTGATGTATTTGTACAACCCCCATAAGACAAGACACAAAAATAGTGCCCCAAGGCCAGCTCCAACCCCTGCATTACAAAAATTTGAGGGGAAAAAGTCCAAAAAAGGTACCCTTATTGTCAAGTATCTATATGGTCTTATAATCAAGAATAGTAGTGAATTTGATTAAAAGGAAATCATATAAGAGTGATTAACCTAAGCTCCTTTCATGTGGATTTATCTTAACGACCTTGAATAATTAATTTGTCTCCTGTTGAAGTTCCATCAGGTGATATTTTCATACATACATCTGGACTGGACAACTGATCTCCATTACAAGGAATTTTGAAAACCATTGATGAAAGTGAAAGAATGCCTACCAGTATTCATCTTGATTATTATTGTAATAATTCCAATTCAAATATGACAAGAATAAGTAGGACCCTTGGTTATCTTTTGATAAATCTGAAGCGGCGACATTAGAAAAGTTCTAAGTGTGGTCTTAGCTATCAAATAGTATTAGGGTGCGAAGAAAGTTTCGAGGTTGTTTTGATAGATACTATTGATCGAAACTTATCTATAATCATCACCAAGCAAATGGACAACCCTGCCAGAATGAAGGGTAAGGTAAAATTTATTTCCGTTTATGCTGTTCTTTTTTCTAACAATAATCAAGAGCATTAACCGGTCTAAAATTCTAGGTTAAAAGATCTACTTACCAATAAGAATGAATTTAGCTGTCTTTCTACCATTGACGCAATCATATGAGCCCTGTTTGTTCACGCAAGTCCCGGAGCACATATTTGGATCTTCACATTCATTAATATCTGATAACAAATGATAAAATAAATATATTAGCAACAAAACCCATCTCTTTGAGTAAAATTAGCGAGACTACTAGGTCGCCTTTTCTCGTAAATTATTAATTCCATGGCTAAAATATAATGCTTGTGACGAAAGGACTGTCATGTTCCCCTCTATATCCAGTAAATTTTTCTCAATATAATTTGTTCAATTTTGTTTGAAAGTGCATTCACTTTGTGCAATCTTGGGCCAAAAAAAAAAAAGGCAGAAAATCATGTATGTGATCATTAAACAGCGTGAATGAATTCTTTTCAGAGAAAAATCTGGAAATGAACAAGCCACTTCGCTGTATGGTGCCATTAAATACGGAATGGGATAGCATGAAGTATGTTACCTTGGCATCCTCCAATAACATAAGGGTTGCCACCATACCCCCGTCCGCAGTAGCACCATGTAAATAGCATTTCACTGCTGTCGACGCTGTCTCTGGTACAGGCGAAAGGAGTATCATAGCTTGAGTTGTATATTGCGTCGTAATCTTGCCGGATAAGGTCAAGTGCATAGTTGGTATTGTTCGCAATCCCCCATACCAGCACCACTGGAACCGTATCACTCGATCTCAAATCATATACACCTGTAAAATCAGACCTCAAGAAAGCGTAGTTGCACCCCTGATGTCCACCTTCTTCTTTGAAATCCACGCTAAAACCCTGAAGGTTCAAGGGGAGCTTAGTCTGGCAGCATCCGTCCCTCCCGGAACAAGCACTATACTTGCTAATGTTGAAGTTGGTTCCAGCACATTTCGACCGGCAACCGACAACAGCTGATTCTGTACTATTCACTGTTGCCATGGTGTTGCAACCAACCAATGTAAAGAAGTTCCTTGACCGGGAGAAGACAAATTGACTTCCTTTTAAGCTTACCGCTGCACCACGTCCGTCACCCCCACAGCTTGCATTTGAGTAAATTACAGGAAGACTAATGTTAATCATGCCAGGCAAGTCTACCTCAGGGAGGGAAATGTTGAGAACTCGCACTCCAATCTTATTTAGTGTGGGAGTCGTGTTTTGCTGGCAGTCGATCTTGTACCAGTCATCCAAGAAACACCCGGCTCCCATTCCGAAGGGGAAGGGAATGGTGACCTTCCCGCATGTTTCGTTACAGCCACGTCCTGGAGGTCCAGGTGCAGCTCCTGATGGTCGTACCGTGAGGGAAATCAGAAGAAAATATATTAACCGCGAAAGCCATCTCATTTAGTAAAATTACCAAAACTAGTAGGTCTCATTTCCTCATAAATAGTTAATTCCATGGCTAAAATGTTGTGCTTGTAACGAAAGGACTGTCCTGTTCCCCTTTATTTCCAGTATATTATCATCAATATAATTCGTTCAATCTTGCTTGAAAGGGCATTCACTTTGTGTAATCTTGGGCAGGAAAAACTAACAAAAAGAAGGCAAAAAAGCATGGACCTAATACCCTAAAAAACTCCATCTTTAGGTCCAATCTCAATTCTACCCTGAAATTTTTTTTGTCTCAAAAAAGGCCCAAACTTTAAGTGTAATTCCAATTCTACCCTAATATTTTTTTGTCTCATAAAAAATCACAAGTTTTTACTTGAATCCCAAATTTGCCTCCGTTAATCTTCTGTCCAAAATTTTTCTTGACAACCGAGATATGGAAAACTCCCATGCGCAAACTATTTGAGAGTCCCAAGCCAAGTGTCTCGAGCGTAAACTCTCTGATCGTGAGAGATGGAAGAATCTCGAGCACAAGAGATTGAAGACCGAGAGCAAAATCAAAGATCCCTAAGCTAGATGGAAGGAAAACTCTCTCAAAAGTAAGAGCAATTGAAGAAAGCCAACTCTAATTGCTCTAGTTTTTACCCAAATTTCATATCCAATAAGATGTGGTTTGGGCTGACATGGAAATTTATCTCCAAAAGATGTCTTCTCGGATATGAAATTTGGGAAAATACTAGAGCAATGATGTGAAAATGCCACACCGCTGAAGGCGATTTTGGACGAAGGATTAAGCGATGTAGGTATGGGACTCAAGTAAAAGTTTCTGTTTTTTTATTAGACCAAAATATTCAAGGTAGAAATGGGACATGACCTAAAGTTTGCGGTTTTTTACAAGATAGAAAGAAGTTTACGGTAGATTTGAAACTGACCAAAAGTTGAGGGTTTTTTTATGAGACGAAAAATAGTTTAGAATAGGAATGAGATGGGAGTAAAGTTGGAGTTTTTTAATGGTATTAAGCCGAAAAGCATGTATACAGTCATTAAACAGTGTGAATGCGTTCTTCTCGGCGAAAAATCTGGGAATGAACAAACCACTTCGCTGTATGGTGCCCTTAAATACGGAATGTGATGGTAGGAAGTATGTTACCTTTGCATCCTTCAATAAGATATGGGTTACCACCATACTCCCGTGTGCAATAGCACTGCACAAATAGCATTAATTCACCTTCGCTACACACGGAAGGATAATCAGTTTCTGACTGCTCGATAAGCTTACGTCCATATTCAGTATTGCTCGCAATCCCCCATTCCAGCACCACCGGAACAGTCTTATTCAGTCTCAAATCATATGAACCTGTAAAGTCAGACCTCAAGAAAGCGTACTTGCACCCCTGACGTTCACCTTCTTCTTTGAAATCCACACTAAAGCCCTGAAGGTTAAGGGGGAGCGTAGTCTGGCAGCAGCCATCCCTCCCGGAACAAGCACTATTCCAGCTAATGCTAGTGTTGGTTCCATCACATTTCGACCTGCAACCGACAACATCTGATTCTGTACTACTCATCGTTGCCAGGGTGTTGCAACCGACGAATGTAAAGACATTCTTTGTCCGGGAGAAGACAAATGGACCTCCTTCAAATCTCACTGGCACACCAAATCTATCGCCCCCGCAGCTTGGACTTGAGGAAATTACAGGAAGTCTAATGTTAATCATGCCATCCACGTCTCCATTGGGGAGTGAAATGTTGAGAACTCGCAATCCAATCTTCTTTAGAATGGGAACGGCGCTGTTTTGTTGGCAGACGATCTGGTACCAGTCGTCCAAGAAACACCCGGCTCCTATTCCGAAGGGGAAGGGAATTGTGACGTCCCCGCACTTTTCAGCACAGTTAGGCTTTGCAAGTCCAGGTGCAGCTCCTGATGCTTGTAACGTGAGGGAAACCAGAAGCAAAAGAATTTGAAACACTGAGATCGACATGATTTTCAAGTTTCGTAAGTGCATGGACCTAAATTTATGGAGAAAGCAGATATGGACGGAGTACCTTCATATTGTTATTTAAGAGGAAGAGGGGACAAAATTTTCATATACTGTGTACGCATAATTTTATTCCAGCTGTTACTTCCCAGTATCTTTGAGATGTTTCCTTTAGGGAAAAAAATTGCATTACAAGTCCTAAATGTCCAAAATCTTATATGAATGCAATCCAAATCTTAAACATTTCAATTGATTAGATCAAATTCTAAAATTTTAGGAAAAAGTGCAATCAAGTTTTGAAATTTTTAATTGATTAAATTAAATCCTCTACCTTTATTAAGAAATACTATTAAATCCTAAAATTATATTTTTTTGTCATAATCCTATAATTATGTTGAAAAGTGCAATTTATAAACACTTTTTGAGTGATACGAGATAATTTCAGATATTGTTCATCAAAAAGATTTAATTCACTTGTGCAAAAGATTTGAGATTTAATTGATTTAATTGAAAATTTTAAAACTTGATTGTATTTCATATACGAGATTTTGGACTTCTTGTCCACCTTTCCTTGAGCACAGAAATGTCAAAGCTCGATAAGTGGAGAGCACTAATTTAAGCAGCCAAATGTAACTTTTCCATTTGTTTGGTAGATTTTTTTTGGGGTCAGATTTTGGTAGATAATTTAATCATTATTTTTTCATGAGAAACATTCGAAACATTATCAAGATGGCTTGATAATTTTTAACACTTGGAAGCAAAGTTATATCTATTCAATAATTTGTTTATTGGTAAGAATATTAGTTTAATAATTTTTTCTCTATCAAGATGAACACAAAAATCAAATCGTCATCCCAAATGAACTAACTTTTGATGAGCCGTTCTCATGTTCCGACTTTTTTGTCTCTCCTTTTTTTAAAAGAAAACCACTTTACCACAACAAATTTGTCCTATGACAGGACAGCCATCAATAATTGAAGCAAAAGTGGTTTCTTTCTGATTTCTTTAATCGGAGTGCGATATTCGAGTGACGTGATCTCTCACATTATTGAAGCGAAAATCAGAATTGTTCTCGAGTGCGGTACGTCGTGTAACAGGTCCAATGCTTTATTTGCGCAAGCTAGGGATGAGCATGATGGATCGCTCGAATCGGGACCGGATCAGACCGGATCAGATCAGCCGGTTTAGTCCGATTCTCGAAAGTATTGATCCGATTCCCAATTCTTAAAAGTGAAATCGGTTTCCGAGCTGTCCGATTCTCGGTTCTAGGGTGGGAACCAGACCAGATCAGATCAGACCGGACCGATAAATATATATATTTACTTTTTAAATTTTTTGAAGAAAAAAAGAAAGTCTAATCTATTCCCTCTTGCCTTTACCAATTTTTTTAAGGATTTGTTCCATTGGAAAATGGAATTGGTTCCATTGGAACGTGATTAGTTCCATTTGAAAATAGAAAAATAAATACATTTATTTATTTAAAATAAAAAGCTTAATTTAAAAGTACACGATCGGTTCCATTGGAACCGGACCGGACCATCGGTCCGGTCCAGTCCACGGTCCTAAAACTAGCTGGTCTGGTCCTCGATGCTAGAAAATGGGAACCGGTCCTCTTGATCTGATTTTCGATTTTTGGATGGAATCGGACCGAACTGGGAACCGCTTACCCCTAGCGTAAGCCATCGATAAAAGCACTTGGGAATATTGTTGGCCCCCTAGAAAAAAGTGGAAGATGCGTGGATGGTGGGGCACGTTTTTTGCTTCCGTGATGGAAGAGAGTGCGTCCCATGCACTGGGATTGAAGAAAACTGAAAGATGTTTTCGCTTTTAGTAGTCTTATCAATTCACTAGTCTGAGCATGCTATATTAATTTGTGCACTGTGAACATGAGTAGTCTTTCGCTCAAGGAAGGACATTATCAAACGAGGTATCTTGAGTCCATATCTAATCAGCGTTATTATCTATGATTTTTTTTTCCCGCTAGTTTAACTTCGTACATAGGAAAAGAACTTGAAACAAGAAGTTCGACATGATTTTCACTTTTGCATGTGCATGGACCAAACCCAGGAGAAAGGGGAAATGGGCTGAGTCCCTTAATTATTGTTGTCTAAGTGGAAGTGCAGGCTCAGATGTATTCTTTGATGATGCACTTGTTCATAATTTGAGATATGCTTGAGCTTGATTGCTTCAATAAAATTGACTTCATCGTGTTTCTGAAAGTGAAATCAAATCACAGCTATTTTTTGTTGAGAAAAATATGTGAGTAGTACTTTATAGTTCTTTGACACTTTGATGAGCGATAGCAATTACTATCCTTAAGATATTATTTGGCCTCACTATTATTGCTACCGTGTCTAAGCATATATACATCTAGGATATAAACCAAAATCATAGAGAAACGAGTTTAAAAATTACTCAATTTTCCTCTTAGAATTTTTAACTTGAATGTGTTGTTAAACTTGTGTGAGAAAAGAAAAGAAGAAAGAATTATGAAGAAAAGAATATTGTGAAAAAGAGAAAATTGTTATGAATAATGTGTGATTTGATTATAGATAGTCAAACAACACATCTTTAGGGAATAGGTACTTTATCGGTATCCATCACCACTTTTGATGATCAATCATCACTTTTTCTTCGTGTCAATATTCACTTCTTTCTATATCCAATTCAATCTCTTCTCTTAATTATTTATAGATAACAAATTATTTCAATATTTTCAACACTAAAAACTAACCAGTGAGTCCAAATGGCTAAAGGTTGATACAAGTTGGATGCATGTTCCCAAGAGTACAAGTGCAACCTTAATGTAATCCTTACAATAAAGTATTCATGGATCCTAAGCCGCGATAATCCCCTCATGATACATGAACCGAAAAGAAAAAATCTATCTTGTTGACTTGTCAAAACAGCAAGTTCCCCTGATTTGTTGACTAGGCCACGAGGTTTCTTCGTTCATCCCCCCTCAACGAAGAGATTGGCTTCTGTCCTGTTAAAGAGCTCAACAAGGACCCCTGCAAAGCTGTGCACGTCGCTTTCGTCTGTAAATTGATTTATTTGGAAGTACTCACTGGTCTGTGCATTTATAGCTAGAGGTTCCTGTGGGCGATAATAACGAAAGAGCTGCTTCACCATGTTTCAAGATGGGTTGAGTGGATGCAGATCTGCAAACGTAGCTAAATTGTAGTCCACAAAATAAGACTTGCTATATTATAGAGATATCAAAGTTTTGAGGACGTCAAGTCCTCATTGACTTATCTATAGAGCACAACTATACATATGTTTTATTTGATTTGGAAGTCGTCTCTCTCTGCCCTTTTATCAAGAGCCTTCCGTGTGCCAGCCAAGATGTAACCCGGTTCGTTTGATTTGTCTTTTTAGAAGATTTCCACACCGATAGCATAGTTATGGTTTAGTAGGAAAGAAAATTAAAGTCTTATTATTAAGGAAAAATAACACAAATAATCCATAATTATTAGTTCAATATGCAATCTCATCCTTGAATATTTAATTTATTCAATGTGATTTTTAAACTATTTCTAAATGTTCAATCTAGTTCCTCAACTTTCTATAACAAAATCAGATTAGTCCATCGGTACTATTCACAATTTTTCATAATTACACTATTGCCCAGATTTTAAGAAAAATTCAATTTATCTCCTAAATCAGCAAAAAATGCTATCTTTTTATTACCTTTTTACCTTTGGGTGTATAGAAATATTACTATAGTGCTATTTACGTATATTTTAACTTACAATCTCGTGACAGTAAAAAAATTACCTCATTTAGAGTTATATCGAATTCATATTCTTATTATTTAAGAAATAAAGTGTTTTCATGAGAATTTAGTGACAATATGAATTATCTATATACTTCGCGTACTTCTATTATTCTAAATCGTGTTCCTAATTTTTTAAATAGATATAATTTTCAAGGTTTTGTATTTTGTGTTTTCTTAATTAAATTTAGTTAAATCTGTAAATTAGGAAATTAAAATAGCATGAATATTAACCCAATACAACCCTAAATGAGGTTCCACTTTTACTATCATAGAGATCATTAGCTAAAATATACTCACATGGAACTACTGTAATATTTACAAAGAACAAAAGGTAAAAAAGTAACAAAGATAACCATATTTTGTTGTTGATTTAGGAAATAGATTGAAATGAAAAGATATCATACAATCTAGGCTATAGTGTAATTATGAAAACTTTTGACTTTTTGTGGAAAGTTGAGGGACATGGATTGAACAAATAAAAAGTTTAAGGACTAGATTAAACATTTAGGAATAGATCAAGGACAACATTAAATGGCTTAAAAGTTCAAAATGACATTGCACAATGGGACAAAGTTCAGGGACTATTTGCGTCATTTTCCATCATTACAATGATCTTTATATTGTTATTAGTATAATACTGGCTTGAATTCTTAGTTATTGCCACACAAAAAAAACACATAAAATTAGATAGAGCAGTGCTAGGTAGTCGCATCACATGATATAAATAATGGGAAATGTGTCAGAAAAGTCCTTAACCTATTACATTTGTACCAATTTAGTCATAAACCTTTTAATATAGTGGCTAAATTTGATCGGATATTGCTGATATAACATCGACATAGTGCCAATTCAGCTCTCGCCCATGTAACATGGTCAGTTTGATTGGCCGGCTAATTTTGACTAGATATTCCGGCTAATTTTTATATTAGCAGAAAGTAGTTTTTTCTTAAATGCTCTAACTAGCTTCATTAACCAAGGTGAATCAAAAGTTGTAGGTAACTCAAATATGAAATTGTTTATACTTGGTACTTGGTAATCTATGAATCAAACGGGTGATGCCCAACCGTACACATAAACCAAAACTTGGAGATCTTCCTGGATCCCCGTCCATTGGTCTAATATGCAATCACAGCCGGTGAGAAAGTGTGACTCTCGTATGGTTTCTACATGCTTAGCGGCTATGATGGATGGGGTCCATGTAGGACTAGATCCAAACAACAATTCTGCCCAAAACCTGTGGAAAACAGGTTAACTTAATTTTCCATCTA